TTGTTCCAAAAAACTCCCCAATTAGGGACTACAATACCTGGCTCATCCTTAAAAAAAATTTGTACATGGGGAAACTAATGTTTTACATGTTGTTCCTAAACTGAGCTACAATTTTCGAGGTTCCTAATTGCAAAATGTAGTCCAATAGAGAATTTGCAGGTGTCTGAAACTGTGTAAATGTCACGTTTAAGAGAAAACTAATGAGTAAACTGAGCATGATGATATCTCTGATTCCTAAAATGAACAATTATTAGAGGGAATATGAGTGAATGACCCAATCTGCTCAAATACACGTGTTTAAATGGGTAAAGCCGCCTGATGACGTTATAAGGCGGCAGATTTTTTTACTTTTAAGTCTATTTTTGTACAATTTCCATACATAGAAAAAATTTTAAAAAATACTGCAAACGTAGCTCATTAAGCACTCTCAAAAATGCAGCAATAATAAATGTTCGTGCAAATTCGCCATTTGAACCATATCAGGCCAAACGGGACTTAAGTGACGACTTAGCATGAGCTTATGTTTTATTCTTAATAAAAAAGAACTAAGCATCGTGGAAACTGTACATTTTGTAAGTATATTCTTCTTAACCCCGAGATTCCCTTCACTAAACCTATGGGTAGGATTGAGTTGATTTTCTAGCAGATGTTGTATGCGTTGCGTTTGCTGCACACACCGACGTCGCCAACCGTCGTCTGCTATCATCTATCTTCATCTTCATCGGACGACGGCAACGGCAAAGCAATCGCTTCAAACGGGATGTAAACAACTACCAACTTATTTGACGTGGGTTGTAACCAGAGACAAGAGACCCTCCACTGGCCTCCTAGCGACAGGTGGAAGCTTTTACTTTCGGGGTTTCAACAATTCCTTATGGACAATTATTAGCGAGCAACAGTCATCACCCTATTTTCGGCTGTTGACTTACCTACATGGTCGATGATGAGCTTCGGATGACGTCATGAGCCAAACAACTTTCCCAAACGTCGGCCATTTTCGGCTTGTTTGCAAAACGAAACTGCCAACACGTTGTTGAACATCAACCATGTAGGTAAGTCAACAGTAGAATGCTGAAGTCTCGAAAGTAAAAGCTTCCACCATGGCCAAGATACTAGTGGAGGGTCTCTTGTCTCTGGTTGTAACACCCTTCATCGATTCAATCAAAGCTTATAGAGCAATGTAATTGCGTATTTATCGAATGGATAACTATTCGCGCACCTCGATATGTCAGCTACTTACAATTAGCGGAAATTTTGAAGGCGAACCTTAAGTGGACGATTCTTTCCAACACATTCATAAGTTTGTTTATCAATTTCTGATTCAATCAAAGTCAATGGAGCTGTATAATCGTACGTTTTTTCGAATAGACAACTATTCGCGCTCGTTGGTAAGTTTGTTGCCTATGAGGCAAAATTGAAGGCGAACCGTCAGTGGACACTTCCTGACAAAAGATTCACAACGTTGTTTATCCGTTCACTCAAAGGCATTTGAGTGATATAATTTTTTGCCTTTCGAATATATGTCAGTGGCGTGGCGTGCTTTTAATAACACCTTAATAATCGATTCTTTACCATAGATTTAAATGGCAGAACAATCGATACATCGCAATTCACGCCACGTCACTGATATATGTCTATTCGCGCTACGCATTATGTTTGTTACCTCTGATTTTGAATTAAATGGGAACTTCAAAAGACCTACGTCTGCCAACAGAATTACACACATCATTTAGTGGCTTGGTCAGAGCATGCAATGGAATGCCTGTATGTTTTTCAAATAGCTTACTATTAACGATCTCTAGAAGATTCTTTACTTATCCAGAATAACGTAGGATGAACTATAAATGGGTATAAATTTATCAATGACAGAGAAGGCCCTAAACTTTTACTATACAAGAGACGAGTTGACAAGTAATTTTTGTGGTCAAAATCTTGCAGGAGGATTTCAAAAGTTTCATTTTTTTCAAATAATATTTAAATCGCTATGTGCACAAAACAGGCAAGGCGATCGTATGATCTCTCATACCCATCTCTGGCCCATCTCTGGCTGGTTAACCCTTAGATACCCAAGCTGGGTCAAATTGGACTGCATTTTGCAATTTGGAGCTATAAATTCTAACTTATCTGAAAAGCACTTATGTGCATAGGGAAACTAATGGCACATACGTTGTTTTTAAACCGGGCCGAAATTTATATTAATTGCAAAATGTAGTCCAATTGATCCGAGGCTTGCTAATAACACGTGCCCCGCGGGTTTTGTTGGGCCGGTGCATACGAGCTTTAGATATAGATCTATACTACATCCTAAAACAATAATAAGACATCAAACTGAAATAAAGAGAGAAAAATTGAATGTCACCGCAGCCGAAGATAGGAGAGACGTTTTTTAAAGAGGGTTATGCAAAACGGCCAAAAAGTGACCCCGCGGGGATTGTACGAAACTTTGTGGGATGATTGTATAGGTCATTTTGGGCCTACATCTGGCTGCTTTTAGGCGAAAACCGCAGGGAAACAGCGTTGCCATTTTTTAAAGTCGTAACCTTCAAACATCCATAACTTTCGCAAAAATGCAGTCACAGAGCTCGTATTTATACCAAAAAATGCAGAAAATTTTGCTCTATCGACCTATGCAGAAGAAAATTTTATTTGAGTCCACTGTTGCCACGTTTTTGCCATTTTTTCAATTTTTATAATGATTAAAAATCACGTTATCGCCTAAAAGTGTGTTTGAAGTTGGTGGAGATTGAATAAAAACCTGTCAGAATTATTGTTCGTTCGATTTCGCATCCATTGATATGTTATACTTTTTTGAGAGACTTAGGGAATCCGAGTTACAGCGATTTAAAAATTCGGCAACACGCCCGACGCCCGATTTTGACGCTCGTTTAAGTACGTTTCGCGACTCCGTGTTGAAGCAAAACGCCTAGACAAAACAAAATTCGAAGAGCCAGTTCATGTTTTACGCTTTTTTGAAACTTTTACGTCGTTTTTAGAAATTCAAGTAGCGGCGGTGTTGCCGGTTTTCAATGAAAACCACCGCTGCGATCACAATTGAAAGTGGTACTCATTTGATCACATCTAGCTACATTGTTTACCCTAAACTGACCGTTTATGACATGATGTTCACAACGTCACCTAATTTCCGTCGGAATTCGCGTAGAGGCGGGGTTGCCAATTTTCAAGGAAACCGCCGCCGCAATCACACAAAAAATGTATCACTCATTTAATCACGTTCAACCTTATTCTGCAGTTGGAATTGTCGATTTATTGAATCGATGGTTTCTTCTATCTCTTTGCAACGGCACTGGTTCCCGACAATAACGAGATATCGAATTTTTAAGCTACCGAATCACTCAAACGGTCTGATGAGTAGTTTTTGCAAGGGACCTAGATCCATTGATCTTGATCTCGATACAATATCGATATCTCGTTGCTGTCGGGAACCAGTGCCGTTGCAAAGAGATAGAAGAAACCATCGATTCAATAAATCGACAATTCCAACTGCAGAATAAGGTTGAACGTGATTAAATGAGTGATACATTTTTTGTGTGATTGCGGCGGCGGTTTCCTTGAAAATTGGCAACCCCGCCTCTACGCGAATTCCGACGGAAATTAGGTGACGTTGTGAACATCATGTCATAAACGGTCAGTTTAGGGTAAACAATGTAGCTAGATGTGATCAAATGAGTACCACTTTCAATTGTGATCGCAGCGGTGGTTTTCATTGAAAACCGGCAACACCGCCGCTACTTGAATTTCTAAAAACGACGTAAAAGTTTCAAAAAAGCGTAAAACATGAACTGGCTCTTCGAATTTTGTTTTGTCTAGGCGTTTTGCTTCAACACGGAGTCGCGAAACGTACTTAAACGAGCGTCAAAATCGGGCGTCGGGCGTGTTGCCGAATTTTTAAATCGCTGTAACTCGGATTCCCTAAGTCTCTCAAAAAAGTATAACATATCAATGGATGCGAAATCGAACGAACAATAATTCTGACAGGTTTTTATTCAATCTCCACCAACTTCAAACACACTTTTAGGCGATAACGTGATTTTTAATCATTATAAAAATTGAAAAAATGGCAAAAACGTGGCAACAGTGGACTCAAATAAAATTTTCTTCTGCATAGGTCGATAGAGCAAAATTTTCTGCATTTTTTGGTATAAATACGAGCTCTGTGACTGCATTTTTGCGAAAGTTATGGATGTTTGAAGGTTACGACTTTAAAAAATGGCAACGCTGTTTCCCTGCGGTTTTCGCCTAAAAGCAGCCAGATGTAGGCCCAAAATGACCTATACAATCATCCCACAAAGTTTCGTACAATCCCCACGGGGTCACTTTTTGGCCGTTTTGCATAACCCTCTTTCTCTTCCGACACTGGAAGACACTTGATTGGAAGCACATTAGCGGAACATCACGAGCTAACGCCTCGCGCCATAGCGCCTTCAATTTTGAAGATGCACCACGGACATCCATCAAGCACGAATAGTTGTATCTCTGCGCCGTCATCAACGCGCATCCTTCCCCCGTTCTATTGCTCTATTCCCACGTTGTGTTAGCTCTGTTTGTTTTATTTGCACTGGTTGAGGGACTCAACTTCCTTCAGGCTCTTCCTTCATGAAGATGAAGAAAAGCCCTCAGAATCGTCATGCTCCATTTTCCTTCGCGCTTTTTCTATTTATACACGATATAATTTTATGTCAGAAATGTCGCATAGTTATCAGTGAAGATGGTGCCGCTCGGTGAGCCCGAACATTCATTCGAAAGGTGCAAAAGATAAAGAAGTTGGTTTCGATGGAGACCAAATAGCACCACAGAATTCGACTGGCGCGTGAACTTAATACATAATCTTTGTCAATGTTTAGCCTTTAAAAAAAAAAAAAAAAAAAAAATCAATGCTAACTAAATTACTGAAAAAATGACAGCATATTGCAAAAACGCCGACTCAAGCTCAAAATTCAGAAAAAATAGTATTAATTATTCCTTAAATTACGATCAAAAGATTGTCAATTAATGCCGACCTCATCGAAATCCTGAAACAGTATAACCACAAACAAGACTTGAGCGAGCGATGCACATAGTGGCTCGATCAACTCAGCTTACCATATGACTGAGATAACCTTGAAAATTAGCCGCCACGAAGTGGCTTTTTTACAAATTTGAAATTTAAATTCCATATCTTTAGTAAATCCCTCAGTCAAAATTTAACATTCTCATGTTGTTGTTGACAAAATTGTGAAAATGGTTTCAGTCCAATCGTTCAAAATTCACACTCTATATGTCCACGAGCGCTCGTAAAACTTTGACGTCAAATTTTATCCCGTAAGTGAATCCTTGAATAATTTGCAGGTTAGAAATTAAATGAGGGGAAACATGGAAGCCAGCGTGACCACTGATGTTGCATGTAAAACTAGGTATTATTGTGCTAAAGAATTCGGATGAGAATTGTACCCTTTGGACACCTACGTGCCGACTAAAGACTATTGCGTTAAATGTAATTAAATTCATACCGTGTACTTTTTATTTCCTTTGGCCAAGCGCAACATCGAAACTCAAGTTTATTTTGAAGTAGATGCTCCAAAATTTTGTGCCTATAAGACAAGACTGTTTTGTCCCATGAGAACGAAATTTCAGAAACATTTTGTTAAATGTTAGAGAAGTATACACTGAACTCTAGAAGATACAGTTTTCTCTATTCAATTACTTTGAGTGATCTCTGAAATTACCGATGCATTTCCAAATTCGGCGAAGATATTTTCTCTTTAAACAATTTCTAGAAGCAACGACTGTGGGTCATTATTTTAAAGAAGCATGTTACTTTCATTAAGACATATGGAAAAAAAGGATATAAATATACGTAAAAGGAAACCCATTTTCGGGGTATTTTTTTCCTTTCGAGGAAAATTTATGAAACCTAAAAAAGTAAAACGTTTGATGAACCTCTTGTAAGTTCCACTGTACCTCGATTTTTTAAACTAAGGTAAGTATTCTTCAAAAGAAAGTTTTAGATGCTTCAAACAAATTTACGGTAGTTTTCCAAATAGGTAGTTTTTCTCTTAAATTTTACCAGACGAAATTTGCACTTTAGAAAATACTGAAAAAAAAAGTTCTCTTTCACGTGAATCGTTTTAATTTCTCATAATCGTTTTACGCCAGTCTTTGCTTTGATGATTAAATTTTTTTTGAACGGTTCAACTTCCGTTGAAAACGACTTCGTTGAAAATCGCTGATTTAATGTTAGATCCTTATTTGTCTTGATTACCTTAAATAAACGTTTCATGGGAATACGAGTAACTAAATAAAATGCAGCCGTCTCATTCGTTACAATTAATCACTCTCATTAATGGATTTATTTACATACTAGGTTGTAAGAAATTCGAGTGACGCACAGATTTTCCATATTGGCAAAAAATTGAAAACACCAAAAACAACTCTTAACATGCAACGTGAACACTAATCTTAATTAGGAAAAATGGGTAAACGCATCACATTAGAGAAAATCTGCAGTTCCGAATCCGTGGAAAAATACTAGCAAGTGTTATGAGAGATTTGGTGAATCACCTACTCCGCTCCCCCATGGCATAAAGTGAGCGATAGTGCATGAATAATCGACGATTAATACGACAGTGTTCAGACCAAGAGAAAACAGAGGGAAGGCATGAGGAACTTATTGAATAAGAGAAACAATAAAAGGAGTAATTTAAGCAAGAAGTACAGAAAATGCCCGATCTCGCGATCTCTTGGTCGATCGAAAAGGGCCGCCCCTAAATTACATAACGCTGAATTTGCGGCTTTTTGACACATCCCCCCCCCCTCCCGATGGCATTTGTGGTATTTTTGTGACATTTTTCTATAAAATGGGACATTTTTTACCGTGAGACAAAAACGCCGGCTTACAGCAAACGATCGTCGTCTGAGAACTTTCTGCGCCCCTGTAAAAAGACCCATTGAATTATTGGGACAACGTATTATTCATTCAAATGGACCGGAGTTTAGCATAAAGGAACCAAGCCACATCAGCTATTGCCAGATTTGACAGGACGATTTAAATTTTTACTAGAGAACGTTTGTGCGGATTCCTTTCAAACTGTTAAGGAATTTGCTTCGTAATATGCAGAAATTTCACTGAAATTTGCACAAAGCTCAGCGAACCCGTTTTCATGTAAAAAATTGAATTACGCGATTAAATTTTGCAAAAGCTGACGTGGCTTGGTTCCTTTCTACTCAGCGCGGTCTAAATGTGTTTTCGGATCATTTGCAATTAAATTCACACGCAGAGCCAATGTCCCCGAAGCATTAACTCCGCAAATTTTCGCAATTAAAATTTGCGAAGAGAAATTTACGTTCGTTTCGCACATCCATAGAGCCAACTATTTACTCTCCTCTGCTAATATAGCTTACATCGACGAGGGAAAAACATCTATGATCAACCTGCAGGTGTAGGTACGCCCAGTTTTTATCGGCACGTATCATAGGAAACGCTATTGAACGAACTTTACTTCCCCACAACAGTCGATGATATTTTTTGCACTGATACCAGAACGAGGTCGGTCCGATATGAGTTTTCACTGAATTGTACAATGTACACGCTCACACACTCTTTGGTCTTGCTCTTTGCGCTGGTTGGCTGAGCAAAATCGTGGCGCCTCGGATGTGAGGGCGTATTTGCATTTAAAAATGAACCCTGTTGTCAGTATAACCATATGCCTCATTGAAATCGCACGTTAGTGAGATACGGCTTTTTGACATTTAAAAAAAGGGCACGCTCTCGCGTTAAGTAAATAACCAAATAGCTAGAGACAGCAGTATAATGAAAATAGTGTGGCGTCTCTTTTTCTGTCAGAAATTCTCAGAATAAAGAGTCATTTGGACAGATGTAACCGGGATAATTATCCTAACTACATCCGACACCGTCTAATTACCTCGCATGTTTTATTTGTTTACTAGGAAACTGAGCGAGTGCATATATTATGGAAAATTCACAAAAGGTTTCAAGGCGTTATATTAATTCAATTTTTCCAAATTAAAAAAAAAAAAAAAAAAAAAAAAAAAAAAAAAAAAATCACAGGAAATGAGGCGATGTGAAATACGGTTGGGCTGATTCTGGTTAGATATGCGTCCTCTATATGATGCATATAACAATAAAAAATTATAGGAGCCTAAGAAAAGGAATGAAGTATAATTTGGTTGACAAGCCAAGGTTATTAAAGTTAGTCGAGGCTTGACGCACCGAGGGTACGGTTTCACAGCCTAGGTCGAATTTTGTCGACTCTTTTACGCGGAGACGCAACAATCATCGATGAGTCGAAACCGCAATATCGACCAATCAGAAGCGCTTAGCCGTACTTTTTAAGTGCGGTCGAGACTCCTCCTGAGTATATTTAAGTGAGGTGGAAGGACCGACATAATTCGGGCCCAGGGCTCTGGCGACGGACGGTGGATCGAATCAATTCGAGAGGTCGGACATACAATTTTTGACTAAAATTGCAAATTAGACGTTTATTTTGTCAAGAATTAAATTTAAAAGAGCGCTTCTGGAAGAAAATTTCAAGAGAGAACCCATGGAACCACTTTTAGATCCTCAAAATTTTGTAAAAACGGAGTCATGAGCGCTTAAAGTTTCCGAATTTTGTCCGACCCCTCGTATCGACTCGGTCCACTGTGCGGCGAGAGGTTGACCGCGCGAAATTAACCGCGTGGCAGATTTGAGCGAACGGGTGTGATGACTTTAATCCCGCCTGTTGTCACTGCAAAGACGATTTGCGTTGCCAACGTCTAGAGCAACGCGCAAGTTTAAAATCAGTACATCCGGTCGCGCGAATAAGCCGTACGGTCGACTTCACGCAGCCAACTTCGCACCGTGGAACCGTGGCTTTAATTTGCAGTCAACGTGGACAAAACGCGACGCGACAGTGCGACGCGACAGCAGCGGCGGCGCCAGAGACAATAATTTTTAAAGATAATGCACGCATTAACAATCTAAGCAATGTAATCGTATGAGTCACAAGTTAATTTCAGAGATCGACGCCATTTTCCACCTGATGGTATAGCAGAAGGGGTCAAAGGCACATCGGGCATTGTCAAATTTAACCGGGAGATTTAATATCTTACAATAGAATGTTCGTCAGAGCCGGATAAAGGGGGTGGCCACATGGGCCCAACCCATGGCGGCAAAAATTTGCAATTTTTTACAGTGTAGGTATAAAAAAAATCGGATTTATAAAAACAAAATTATACAAACGAGAAAAGGCGACAAAATCTCTCATCTCCTGAGAGTATAGTAATTTCTAATTATGTCGTCTCTTATTGATACAAGAGACAGCACCCTCAATAAGTCGAGTTACGAGAGAAACCAAACACGCAATTTGGCCTAGAACGGCGCGACTTAGAGAGAAATGATAACGAGGACTTGAGGTGAAAAGGAGAAGGCCTCGGCGCGGCGATCGGCATGTAACACATTAGCGCCTACAAGACTGCACGAATACTTCACGCATTGCGCCAAACACAGTGCTGTCAGCGTGAAACGCATAGCGCCTACAAGACTGCGTGAATACTTCACGCATTGCGTCCAACACGGTGCGGTCTGCGCGGCGCGGCAGCGGAAGTTAAAATCATTAAACCACATTCATGTTTGTTCTTTCTTAATTTTTTCGTTCATTTCTTATGAATGGAAGGCCTTGTCCGCACAGAGATAAGTTTATGGAACTTAACTTTCGCGCAAAGTTTCGTGAACTTTTGCTAGTAGTGTTAACAGGGCTTTCCCAAAAAATGTGTTCAACAAGAGTAAATGTGTCTTTTGCACCCCTCTCCCACTGGCACGTTCATTTGATGGTTTTTATCGAGTTTCAAAAAGAATGAGAAGGGGACGGCAAAATATAGGCGGCCCATGGGCGGCAAGTAGGTGAATCCGGCCCTGATGTTTGTTCGGATTTTTTTGGAAATTTTGAGGAATTGCGTTGCATTATGCAGAAAAAGCGCTGAAATTTGCACCAAAATCCGCACAACCGTTTCCATGTGATAAATTAAACTGCCCAATTAAATTTGGCCACAGCTGATGTGGCTTGGTTCCTTTCTGTTAAACGCGATCTAATTTGCGAGAAACTTCTTCAGCATATTTGCCAAATGATGACTTATGAATGTCAGAGTGAGCACTTAGCGAGGCAAGTTATTGAAAATTACTTTAGATTTTCTAAAATAATCGATTGCTCAACTCTTCGGTTATCAGTCATCATTAGACGAATTTGAGCGTTGACCTCGCAAAGTCACTATCACTTTGTATAGAATATAAGTAGCAGTACGAGGCCTTTAAAATGTATTGTCTTTTGGGCGGTGCGCATTTTTTTAAACGAATAAATACCTTTTGCAGCACGAATGATGTCTAACCTGCACTGAAAAATGAGGGAGTGGTAGAAAACATAATCCTGCAATCGCGGGCGAAAGCAAATTTAGCATTCCATACTTCCTCGTTGCAAATAAGACAGCACTGAATATCTCTTTATTTGCCTCCCTTTCATTTCTTTTCGAAGTCTTCGTTTATATTTGGCCGTCCGATCAATCTTTACATTGACCTTTTTTCTTCTTGTTTTCTTTCATATTTTGATTTTTGTTACAGGAGACATTGTCAGAGATCTCTAACGAAGAGCAGCACTTTAGAAGTTAGATCCAAGGGTGCGGAACGATGAGAAGGCGTGCTCGTTCCAAAAACGTCCGACCGGGCTCAAGCTCTTGAGACATCGAGTCAAAGACTACCCGCACGGCGATTCACCCCCTCGTCCACTCCAGGACAACCAGGAGGCCATCTCAGCGACCAGTTCCGGTTCCGACTCTATTCGCGGTTCCGGAACAACACCAATTAATGTCCGGCAAAAATGAGAATAGGTTTCATATTCCTCCTCCTACTCCACGCCGCGCCGTTCATCCTAGGCCAACGCTCGGGCAACATCAAGAGCTCCTACAACGACACGCTATCACTGGACGAAGAGCCGCCTGGCGACAATGACGCACCCCCGACGTTCCCCTCGACGCCAACGTCCAACGACGCCTACGACGACTTCGGACCCAGCGCACCTCCCGCGTCCTCCCCAGAACCTCCACTACCCCAATCGCTAGCTCCGCCCACTACCCCCATCACCGAGGTGACGTCACCATCGACGTCACCTCTTCAGGAGTCGGAACCCGAGGTAGAACCAGAGCTAGAACAACCGGCCGAGCCGTTCCCGTTGGGTCCGCCCGACACGAGTAAGATAGAGTATTCGGACGTGGACTACGAAGACGCCAAGTCTAGCAGCACGACGAAATCCGTGCCTCTACCCAGATTCACGAAGAGGACAACGACCATAACGACAAGCACACGCGCACCGGCAATAATCGAACCAGAACAAGACTATATACCTCCTCCGGCCTCCTCGGGGTCGCTGAAGATCCCGAAGTTCGATGTTCCGCGCGGCAGTAACGAACGCTTCAAGGCGAATGGTGGGGGTCCGCCACCCTTCAGGAGATTCGAGCCGGGGGGCTCCAACGAGAGGGAGATCAGGCCGTGGGACAGGGAGAGCGGCTACACGGGGAACAGGAGCCCCTTCGGCAGGGCCAGGGCCTCGGCCGACGGGCCCAGCGGCTACCTCCGCGACCCGGTGGACAGCGGCTATCAAGTGGCGGAGGAGAGGTTGGCCGACGATGGGAAGGCCGACGGCAAAGCGACCACACAACAGATGATGCTCGGTATTGCTCTGGCCTCTGTCTTTGCTGCTATGCTCGTCATTTTCATCCTTACCTTCCTCCTCATGGATCGTATTGTGGCTCTTGCTTGAAAGGTTTGTTCAAAGCCGATTCTACTTGAGTACCTCATAGAGAGTGAGCACAATAAAGGATCCATTCTGATTGGCTGTGATATGGTCGGTCCATTATGTCTTCATTTCATAGATAAAAATGATGCTGTCACCATTAGAGTACGTACGCATGAAAGCTTTTACTCTCAGGGATTCAAAATTTCCTTATGGACAATTATAAGGGGGCAACATTCATCCCCCTTTTGGTTATTGACCTCTACGGCTGTTTCGTTCCCACTAGGTGGATGATGAGCCTTGGATGACGTCATGAGCCAAACAAGTTTCCCAAACTTTGATTTGTTTGCAAAACGAAACTCCCAAAACGTTTTTAACCATCCACCTAGAAGGTAGGTCAACAGTTGAATGTTGAAGTCCCGAAAGTAAAAGCTTCCACCATTGCCAATATACCAGTGGAGGGTCTTTTGCCTCAGTTTCAGGGCCCAAAAGAGCAGCCAACTTGTAAATGAATTCAAATTATCCAGAGTGATTTACTGTTACAATTACTACGACCCACCGTTTGTGAAGCGCACATACCTGAATTAGTTTTTGCATAAATTTACTCATTTTCGTGGAAGCATGCTTATTTATGAACGTTCTTGGTCATCTTGGTTCAATATTGGAATCTTAAGATTGGCAGTGGCATTTTTTGTCTCACGAGGTTGGCTGCCTTTTTGGGCCTTGAGAATTACATATTTCGACATGTCTGTACTCCTCTTATATAGGTACTCTAGTCACCATATTCATGGCTAAAAATATTTTGTGAAGGGAGGAGGGGAGGGGGATAAGGGTCATTTTGCCCTAAACATTCTTCTAAGAGTGCCCGAGACCCTCTGGTTACGCTTACGCTTGCCACACATGCGACTGAGTCATAGCAAGACATGCAACTGCATTGAATTGATTAAGCTGCATTTGATAAAATCATAAGCTCACTGAGAAATACATGAAAAGCTTTCTAAGTTAAGGTCACTAACAGAGTTGACGCCAGTGTTAAGAGCAAATGACGCATCACTCAATAGAAGGGACGATACGAATTGACTGGCATGACGCTTTCGCTCTTTTTCATCTATTCGTCTATCACTTTGCCTTCATGCAATGACGATAACAGAGCCAATATTTCCATGACGCTCCTAATGAAGCGTTATTGAATACCTTCCGCTTTTAAGTTCATCCGATCCAATGAATTGGTTTCAAATTCTACGAATGTGACCTTCGAAACAATCGCGAATTGAGAATACTCATGTATTTCATCAAATCAACTATTCATTAACATTCCATTTAATCTAGCACGATATTCGACGAATTGTGTATTTCTGACGGAATGAACATGTGCTGCAGTCGGGAAAAGTGCGGCTTAATGTGGAAACTCGGATGGTTCAGCAGAGATGAAAGACCGCTTTTGAGTAAAAATGTGGACTATATAAGTTTGGACGCTGAACATTTTTTATTACCCTTGAATGAGAACATTGGGTCAAAATTTCAAGTTATAATGCGTCCAATGGACCCCCGTGCCCTGGTAAAAATTGGCAGTAGAATCTGTGTTCCAAAATACCATAGACCTACAGCCGGCTGTAAGATTTCCAATAGCTCCTATAGCCGGCAACACAATTTCTTATAGCCTTTTATAGTCGATGGCGACTAAGCAATAGACTGGCGATAAAATGTATGCTAAACGTTACTAATTACGGATGCTAGGACTACGAGAGTTTTTGGTACCGCTCTCTTTTTGGGCCGCAGTATCTTGATTTATTTTGCGAGGAAAGCTCCGTTCTTTTGAAGGATGCCTGACATTCCTAAGATGTTGGTGCGCCTTCAATTTCGTATGATACTGTGCAATACCTCTGGTGTGAAATAGTTGCTTCAAGCGCCGCGGCACGCTGCGGCGCGGCGGGCGGGCAGCCAGCGCTGAACGCGCATTGTCGCCTGCAAACCTAACAGGGATACTTCGCGCATTGCGCAATGCTTGAAGTATCCTGTTAGGTTTGTAGGCGCCGGTGCGCCGCCGGTCCGCTTTGTGTTAGGCTCTTATATTTAATCTCGTGGAGTCAGCGTTGTTCAACTCATGACTTTGAAATGTTTGTACACTCTGCATGGATTATTCTCATTTTAATTGATGAAAAGAAAATATGTAGTAAAGGAAAATATAATGTGCGTTTAGTAAATATTAAGGTGATTCCGTACAAACTTAAGGATTTACAAAGCACAAGAATTTCTACTCAATTTCTTATAGCCTTTTATAGCCGATGGCGAAAAAGCAACAGCCAGGCGATAAAGTGTGAAGCCCGGAGATAGGAACTATAGCCCGGCTGTATAATTTTTTATCGCTTCGTGTAACCCGGCCGTATGATTTTTTCCACTTTCTACAGCCAGCTATATGATTTTCTATCGCCCTCTTCAGTCGGCTATAAGAACTCCTATGGTATTTTGAAACGCAGTTCCTATCGCCAATTTTTACCAGGGTGAAATTCTCATGGGTTTCCATAAACAAGAACCAGAACCCATTGGAATTTTCTGGGCCGCCATGGGACCGCGTTGATGGGCAGTTTTTCATCCTGGAGCTGAACTGCTGGCAATGGATCAATTTCGGTAACTTTGCCTTGTTCTTTGCTTCAAATGATGCTGATGACTCGACCCTTTTAGACGAAAGTTATAGTTAATTCATTTCCCTCCCTCCTCAAGACATTTTAATTAACCTCATCACAAAATATGATCCATCCACTGTACATTTAATGAGCATTGCGAGTAACAACCAATACGGTAAAAATTAATCGGAGGCGTTTTTACGAGACTCCTCAGAGCTGAAAAATGTTATACTACCGAACATTTCATTGACATTTCTTCATATGCAATCCTTATTGTTAGTACCTATTTCCAAAAATTTCAAAATCGATGGCAATAGTGCGAAACCACGTATCTCCATTTCCAACGTTTCAGACTTCATATCATACTTGATTTTTTCTTCGGATCATTGGTCAACTTAATTTCCTAAAAATGTCCTTGAATTTTCCGGTGTATTGCCAAAATGTTTGGTAGGCTATGAACTTGGCTTGATTTTCTTCGAGAAATAAAATAGGAGCGGAAATTTTGAAACATCGCACTAGAGATACGTAGTTTCACACTTAAGTGATCAATATACATTCAAACCTGACAATCAGTTTTTTTACGTTTTCATTTTCTTATTGCAGATAAAAAACTAAGTCGATCATAATGGGTGTAACTTCCAATGAATCATGTGGTCAAATACCTCTGCATAACACCCCAAGCATGAACGTCCCGATGCCTATCGAATCTGAGATCGAAAATTATTGAAAACGAAATCGAATCGTTTTATTGGGGTAAGAGTGCTCTCAGAAATAGCTCTAGAGCGGCGGAAAATATTCTCATCAATTTTTTTGCAAAAATTTGAATTGCACCAAGGAGCTCCAGTGTTGAAGAGGAAAATTTCAACGAAATCTTGTTAAAAACAAAGCGGGTCAGCTTGAAACCTGCGAAACTCTTGACGTCCTCGCGGACAACTTATTTTTGCCAGAAAAGGGGATAGGGGGATGACCGATTGACGATGCTTAAGTATTCCAAATCGGTCCGCATATTTGCACAATGTTGTAAATAAAGCTGTATGTCTGTCTTGTACTGGCCAAAACAATCCCTAAAAGCACAATTTGTCTATTGTAGCGTTCTTATTTTCCAGATGTATATGTCCAAAAGTTATCTGTCACTGTTATTGTTTTTGATATTGTCACTTATTTTAGCTACTATAGAAATCGATTGTATGCTGCATGCAAGCCAATTTTAAAGGGAACCCCTTTTTTATTTAAATACGAAATAATCAATAGAGACGAAGAAAGCTTCAGAATTTGTATTATGGGTTTCACTGTATAACCGACTTTTCAGATATCTTAGTGCAAGTCTTTTTTCAACAAATCCATTTCGAATTTGTTTTAAAGGGGTGGGATATTTCGAAGAAGCTAATGCGTATGCATATTTTATTTCTTTAAATAACTTATTTTGCAATCCGTCTTAAATCATTGGTATTTATTTAGATGACTGGCAGTTTACGCGAGTTTCGCAGGGGGGGGGGCGCTATCTTGCGTGTTTATCCGTAAACACTCCATGCAATTAATTTTATAATTACTCCAAAATAATACAAATAAGTTAATAAAAAAACAAATAAGCGTGCGGAAAGGCAAGAAACACTCGTTGATCACTCTCCTCACAGCTTGACTTCACCTTCGAGTTCCCCTTCAATAACTATGATGGCAATATGGGCGACTTTGAAGCACGAATAGTTGCGCGTTTAGTAATAGTGTTGTTCCTTTCGCCTTCCGGGTTGATTGTTGAAATTTATAGACAAAGCTATAGACAAAGAAGACAAGAAGGATGTGGATGAATCCTACTGGTGGAAGCGGGTGGTTGCAATGGGCGATAGAGGGAGGTAACAGAGTAACTAACGGTTAAGAGAGACGCTATAGTTGGTCCATCATTTTCTCCCTCAGTCTATAAAAACCAATCATTTCAACCAATAGGATTGTTCCATACTCCCTATGTCTTCTTTGTCTATTGCTTTGTCTATCAATTTCAACGATCAGCCCGCAGTTCCAGCGAGGAACACACGTTCTTCTTCTCACTGCATATGTCTCTCATGTAGATATAATCCTTCCCTCTGCTTGCTTGGTACAGAGAAATGTAACGTGACTGTTCGCGTTCTATTTTTACATACACCTCTATAAAATGAACTGATGGAAAAGTTGTTGAAAATTTCAACAACTTTTCCATTACGATTTCAACTTGAAATCGTAGGAGCAAATTAAAAGAATTATTCATCTTCAATCCTCATGACCGCAATTTCTACTATTCTGTTGACCGGGATAGGCACTAGTTGACTTTCTGATTTTTTTACGCATTGTTGCCGAACACATGACTGCTCGAAAAATCCATTCTCTCCCTCGCACCCAATCATCCACACGGGAAACTTCACTTTTCTCAACGGCGATTTCTTCGCAGGTTTTGCATACAGGAATACAATTTCTTAGCTGCTATACACGCATTAAAATACAATTTGGGCGAAAATTCAAATCAGCGGCGTGGCGTGCTTTGCGATATAACGATTGATACGCCACTCAAACCTATGAAAAAAGATCGATTATCAGGGTGTTCGCACCGAACAACTTAGTAATCGATTCTTTACCATAGCTTCAAATGGCGAGATATCGTTAATCGATCATTCGCGCCATGCTACTGATTCAAACCCCCGCGATCAGCGATTTTGGAGATTCGATGATCACCCGTGAGACGGTACGTGATCAGTCATTGCAACTCGCGTTCTTAAATATAGATATAAAGGGACTCAAATTGAGTGACGGAGAATCCAGTCCATAAATCGACAAGCTAATGGTAAAAATCTGATGAGTTTCTAATTTTAAGAGAGATACACTCGTCTCTATAACGCACCCTAAATATGGCCATAGCTGGGACCGTAAAACAAGAGTGATTGAATTTCTCCAAGCGGGGTGAACATTGCCCCCAAAAATAACATGATTGGAGATCTTAGTTTAATAATTCGACAAAATAAAATGAAGTATGTTAGAATGAAATAGATAAAGAGGTAAAAATCGATTTCTGAGGAAATGGAATAAGGGCAAAAAAAATGAATTAGTGCGGGACTATGCTTCTGACACCCTCAGGTGAATGGCACATTTCACTAGAGCTCAAAATTGGTGGGGGAATGGAATTGATGAGAATTTTACGCACAATAATTGGAGTGTTCCTGTCACCTTTCGTGGTACCTTCCTCCCGCCCGGCAAGTGGTTGCCTGAAGTAGTTGCGGAAATGTTGTCACAATGTAACTGTCAAAAATAATGTTGCGGCAACGTTGCAGCAACGTTGTGGCAATGTTATTTTTGTCCGTTGCCGGACGGGCTGACAGCTGACTTCCTCGAACTACGATTCAGCATGCACAAATGCCGACACACAAAATATGCGTGTGAAAAATTGTCCTAAAATATGCGAGTGCGCGGAATAAGTAAGACCCCACATTTTTTTTAATTTTATAAATCTTAAGCCAATCATTTCAAAGGGCTTAATTTTTATCGATGAATTTAAAAGTGCATTAGAATTCATACTCTATAAAGGTTAGGTTTTAATTCACCAAAATGATAATGAGATTTAAAATATTGGCTAGGTTGATGGGGAAAAGAAAAAGAAGGAGAAAAAAACGGAGAAAGAGAAAACGGGGAAATGGGCCTCGGCCTAGGACATCGAGATAAAAATTCTAGAAGGAAAAATTGTGCGTAGAACTCTCATGAAAAACCAATTTTTCCTCCATTAACTTTGGAATTTCCCCGGAAAAGAGGGAGGGAATTTGCGAAATCCATCTTTTCCGGGATATCCTTTTGCGCCGTACTTTAATAATGGACGGGGAAAATGGAATCATACATGGTGATGGCGGGAGGCCTAGCTTTGTATGGTCCTTACACGAAATCTGTCTATTGTCAGTGGTTATTGAAAACCATATGTTCTGTAGACAGAGCCAGACGCACGGTTATAACTCTGCCATATGTATGATTCTAATTCCTAGGTACCTGATGTAGATCTAAAAACCGCTATCATTTTTCGTATAGGTGTGTTTCTAACTACTAAAAGTACCGCAATTTGTTAGAAAATAGCTTAGTCAATCTGCTTCTCTACGACGCGCGACGTGAATTCTCACCTTGAGTGGACTACCGATAATGATTGATCTCTTTTTAATTTTAAAACAAAAAATACTGCGATTCCTTGTCTCTTTACATTCATTTCTGTCACTTCACGTATCTTATCATACTATCGTACTATATTATATAAAACCATAAAAGTATAACGCGTACCTAACGCATAACGCCTGAGGCACGAAGCACTTCGAAGGGGCTGGGCCGCGCAGCAGTCAGGGGGCCTAGCCCCCCGGTTCATTTCAAATAACAGAACTAAGTTATGATATTTTTAACCCGATTTGTATATATGTATCTATTAGAGCTCTGATCTGTCCGGTGTCTCAGAAAAATCAATGTGATGGGAATAAATCGACTGTTTGAACGAATAAAATACAAGACTTCAAATGTCATTTAGTTCATTCCTCAAATAAAAAGATATATTTTGTCATTTTATTTGTATTTATTAAAAGTTATCCTCAAGAATGTGTATGCACATCTACAGCTCTATCATAAATTAATTATATTTTTAATAAACGGTTTCATGTATTTTGATGTTTTACTGTTCGTGGTGAATTATACCATAAGTTTTTGACATCATGTTTAAGTAAATAATTCAGCAATAGCATATTTACTGATACATTTGTCAAAACATGTATGGAAAAATATTCGAAGAAATAATTATGATGAATGAATATATTAAGCGCGTAAAGAGTAAAAACTTCACGAAACGCTTTAAGATACGAACTACTTACCCATCAAAGGCGTGCATCGGTAATTTTGATAATATCGAAAAGCGATACTAAAAATGTGTTCCATAATAATCAGTCGATAAAAAAACAATAAAAAATTCCATCTTGATGTCGTATACAAAGGTTTATCAATCATGAAGGTTCAACAGTTACAGGACACTTATGAAATTCAAATTTTACCCGCAATGCGACGACCGTAAAAATTGCATAAAACTTGCAGGTTTCCCTCGTCAGAGAAGGGACAATTTCTTCGGCTGGTAACGAAACAAAATAAACATGAATTCAAAGTATTCAAATTTTAAAAGCAGATGGTCACAACGGGTGGTCATCTGGTAAAGAGCGTCAACCCTGAGCTTGGTGAAGCCTTGGATTTGCAGTAAGAACTGAGATTTCCCCCACCAAAAAAGAGAGAAAAAATGAGTAACCGCCGAAGCCATCCAAATATGGAATATTATGCGAATGATAATTTCAAATCTTTCTGACACAAGAATGTACATGGAAGCATACTGGATAAGCTATTAACCTAGAAACGCCATTTACACCTTGTCTTTTCTCCCTCTTGTTTTAATTCAGAATGAGTTTTTTTGAGCTTCTTACCGACCTGATTTTTCGAGTTTCTTATCTACTCGTAATTTTTGCATATTTTTAATTTGGCTACTGTAATATCCTTTCAGTAACAAACTAACGGGGTACTACACAATGTACAAAGTAGGACTCTGTTACGAGTTTCCTTGTCAAAATTTCAGGTGGCTAATCGTATGTATATGGGGCTACCGACCCTTATGCCTTATCGGCTAATCGCCTTGCGTTGCTGTGTGTGGTTGCTGCCAAGGAGTTTGAAGGCGTTTTCTGTGCATCTTATTTCGAGGTGGTTTTTAGTTGTTTTCGTTTAGGAAGAAGATCTACTGATCTCCGCAATTCACACGACGGAATGTTTGATAGGTAATCAACTCCTAAAAAAATAAAATGACCAATAGGTACCGCAGCTTAAAGGGGTTAATTTCACAAAGTAGCAAAATTTTGCATTTAATTTTTTAATGGGACAGAATCTATTTTTCTCTTCCCTGGAGGTTCTACTGTTCACGAAAATCAATGTTAAAAAATTAATATGGTTCTGATTTTCAAAATTTTCAGGTTTCTTTTTATGTTTGCGAGGTCGGTTTCCGGAATTGTGAAAGATTTTTGCTACGATTTCTTCTCATTATCCACGAGCGATCTTGAACGACTGTTGGGCACAGTTCCTCTTTTTTCAGAAATGTCTCCTAAATTAACATATAACTGCCAAAAAACGAAGATGAAAACTTTTTAGCAACCTTAATGAGCACTGGACGGCACAAACCAGAACTAGCCTGATTGCATTTTATGTTGCTTCGGATAGGAGAGAAAATTTGTGTCTCAGACAAGAAAAGTGTACGTTAATTATTGAAAACTAGTCTGGTACTTTCTAAGAAAAATTTTACCAATCCACACATGTTGGATAATTTCCTTTCCTTTTGCCGTTTATAATTTAATTGCCTATATTGCCCCTACGTAATTATGGGCGAAGTCATGTGGGGAGTCTGAAAGGGCACCTGATTAAAGGGAAGTCCGGGAGATCACAAGAGGAGACCCTGCTAAAGAGATTTTACAGGGCTTCCTTAGCTCCATAAGAGGGTTTAGGGGATTTTATTGGAATCAACGGGGGGGGGGGGGAGGCCTCCTTCGGCAAATTTTGAAAAATTGAGTTGTCTCAGGAGCAATTTCGGGCTACTCTCACCAAAAATTTTTAAGATTTCATACGTGAAAGATATGTCGTGCACTTCCTTCGCAAAATCCCTCACAATTCTTGGGAGTGACCAAGCAGATTTTTGTGGGGACCAGGCTCCAAGGCTCCTCTCGGCTCCCATAATTCCGCGCATGTTATGATAAAGAATTTGAGCGTATAACGCCTTGAAATTGCCTGCAGAATCGCCTTTAGATTATAAGAGATACATTAAAAATTTGAGAGAGAAATGTATGGCTTCGATTGCTGCTCAAAAGTAAACAATGAAGAGAAATTGAGCAACGTCTGGTGTAGTTGGCTTGACTCTAGTTGCTAAATCCGTCCAACTCATGTGCGTACTTGAAATAAGTGTATCGGCAAAAAACAGAAGGCCTAAACTGACGGGAGGAAGGGAAATGTATCACACGAGAGAGAAAAAAAGGCACTGATTTCTCCAGACGGGGAAAATGTAGGCTAAAAATAATGGATGTGAAACTTGTTCAGTCTACTTAGTATCGAAACATGCACATTTTATTCCATGCGCGTCTGTCAGCCAAATCCCGCGTGTCATACATGTAGTGCGCATCCAAAAACGGCACTTCCCAATCCCCAAGCGCAAAACCAACTCAACAGTTGGATATCAGACGGGAGAAAAGGAGGCAAAATCTAAAATTGGTAGTATATGAGTCCAATGAATGTCAAAATTGTTGTGCCAGGGTAGAAATCCATCTCAGGAAATATGAGAATTTGAAGTGGAATCAATCTCTGAAATTGATTTTTGGCGGCGGTCAAGACCGGACTGTATCCGTAAAGAAAGAGTTCGCCAGGGGATGATGGTCAAAAGTGACATCGTGCACGACGTCATGTCTAGGCATTCAGTGTGGTATGGACTTGTGCAAAGAATGTCGGAGGAGAGATGGCCCACACAATTTTTGGATTGGGTACCACATGGGAAAATGCGGCAAGGACGACGTCCCATGAAGGGATGGTGGCATGGCATTGCCGCCATCCCTTGGGCGTTGTCAGTTGCCCGATAACATTTGGGAAGATAGGCACTTGTGACGTTGGGTGTCGCAGAACGCCAGAGTGCGTTGTTGGGGCGTCTTTTTATGTATGTAGTGTCAGCAGCTTGATTGTTGTTTATGTTGGCACGACAAGAATCGAAAATCCATATATTACACGGTGTAGATGGGCTACGTGTTGTCTTATCTTGCCGATACAGATCAGACTGCTAGACAGTAAATTTTAAAATAATTTAAGGCCCAGTAGCAAGGGACAATACTGATGAGAATAATTTAAGGTATATTGTCATAAGGAGAGAAGCAGTAGAGCACCGAGTGAATGCAAAACGCACAAAAGTCCCTCCCCAATATTTTGAAAAGTGCCGAAGACTCAGATGCAACAATTCAACTTACGGTCGGCAACATGAGCTGAAAATGCTTACCTATCTAAGCATTCTTTAATGGAAAGCAGGATTTCTAAATATTTCGGGAGTGATTTTCCAGCAGTGACACACGCGGTGGCAATTTTCGCAAGTGTGTAACGCGATATCATGTTCATTTAAATGCTCGTATGGCGAGGCAACTTCCCTCACATATATGTACCGATATTTATCGTGGATTAAAATGGAGAAAAAACATCGTTGCCAAATTGCTAGAATCGCTAGCTACTGACCACGCGAGGTCTACGACGCGGTTGGGCCCACGGTGTCATTAAAATGCATCCTTATAAGTATCGAACGTTTCTTGCCTAGTTGTCCTGCTCTTTTGCACATAGTAGGTCTTTGTGCAAAACTTTCCACGAAGATATGATCGGTTCACTCAGAACCATCAATTTTTTTAGGAGTAATAACGCTCAGAAAATATGTATCTTATTAGGTGCAGCTTAGAATTCTTGGTGTGTACACTTTTATTTTGGCTGCATAATGTCACAATTATCACAAATGCTCTCGATGACCGATTTTAGGTTCCTATTTAATTGTCTTGAAGCCTGGAGTCGAAGCAAAGCTTGGGAACCATTGCCACGGGCAGAACTGGAACTTTTTTTGGGGAATGAAGGCCTAAATACACACAGCGATTCATCGCCGCGATTTCGATTCATTGACATCGTTATATCGAAATCAAGGCTCTCCATTGGCTTTCGTCTTTCAATCGCAGCGATTAATCGCCGTGTGTATCTAGGCCTTTGGAAAGTTATCGCATTGAGGGGGGTCTCAGAGGACATCCTTCAGAGGAGGGGTGCACTGCCGCACAGTAGATAGAATCAATGGGAGAGGTCTGACAAAATTTGGAAACTTTAAACGCTTATAACTCCATTTATACAAAATTTTAAGGTTCTAAAAGTTGTTCCATTGGTTTCCTCGTAAAATTTCCTTCTAGTAGCACCCCTTGAAATTTAAAATTTGACAAAATTAACATAAAAATTCTCAGTTCTAGTCAAAAATTTTATGTCCGACTTCTCTGATTGACTCGATCCACTTTGTGCCGTGTGTAAACGCCGTACGAGCATTCGAATGTAGCCAAATTTCCTCTCAGAGATAATACCTCTTTTTGAAAAAAGAAATGAATGTTTTTCCTTAGAATTTTCAGAATTCCCAGATCAAATTACGTACGAAATCCTCTGTAATATCGGAAGAGAAATATTCGCAAATTTTCCTGAAAATCCGTGGTTTGACGAAGGTTTGGCAACGCCTGACGGCTCATACGGCGTCCTACCTTAGTACGGCAATGTAGGGGATCTTACACCACCTCCAAAGTGGAATCCGAAAGGAACTTCTTCAGCTCCAAAAGGGGGGCCGAGGGACTTTCCGGAAAAATTTTGAAAACTTGAATCGACTGAAGTACAATTTTGAGCTGTTCTGACCGCAAAATTGATTGAAATACCATCAGGAGAATGAAACATGAAATTTACTAAGCAAAACCCTCAAATTTTCTGAAGAGGGGCCACATAGATTTCTTGCTTCCTTTCTCTAGTTTCACGCAAGGAAATGATCCATTATGACGCAAACAGGAGTGCTCAGAATTGAATAGTTCTGATCATTTTACTCGCCCCAATAAGATATTTCAATTCAAAAAGTGGGAATTTACCTTAGTCAGTATTTTGGAAGAGGGGAGTTCCTATGATGGGAGTTGAGTCCGTGCAGATGTAAATAATCCAAATTTTTGAAGCACATACGCAGATGCACATTAGAAATCACACACCAAGTCACGGCACTATCATGTGCTCCATCTCTCATCCATGCATGAAAGATACTCACAAGTCACTAGAGTTGGTTTCTCCGATTAACAAACTGCTGGAAGAAATCCGACCCGGTATTCATCTGTTTTCCACATAAAAACATGAAAAATCTTCGATATCTTGAAGAATCTCCGCCCGTATAATAACTTATCATCACTCGCACAAAAATATCGGATTTCAAGTAGTAAAAAGCGATCACTTACGCATCGAAACACACCGTATAAATGAGTAAACGAACTTTACTCTTAAACCATCGCTGGAACTTATAAAAATCGTCATCACGGGTTATTAAATTGAGGGGAAATCGCCAAAATTAACATTTAAAAAACCACAATCAGTATCAGGAAAGACAATATTTTAGCCACGAATTCAATCAAAATTTCTTCAAGGTTTTGCGCAGGCTAGGATTCACTAATAAAATACTTTTTCACGGATATAACACTTTTTCAAAGCTCGAACCGGCTAAAACTGGTGACACCGTTGCGTCGCTCAGGTATCATCACTATGCACGTCGAAACGGGAATCCGCGATGATGCGATCAAAACTTTCAAAAAACCCGCGCGAAAATAGGTTAACTTCCCACAGGAATCAACAAGTGTCGCTTGGAAACTCCTCGACACTTTCAGAGCGATGAATTTCAATTTTCCGAGGGCGGGCACAGAAACACAGGCACTGCAGCTACAATTGCATCCCGTAATGAGCGAGAGGCCAGCTCTTAATCGTACTTGTTTACGAACTCGAAACACGACCGTCGACTACGGCCCAGACCGCCTACGTCACAAGCGCGGAGCGTACTGAGCCGATAGATCAAAACAAAATAACTGAACTTGTCAAGGCTCGAAGTTGTAAGTAGGTGCATACTTACAACCGACCTTGCGTTTTGAATGTCAATAACCCCCACTTCACTGTCTTTGGGCCTGATCTCCGCCTGCGCCTCACGGAGAGCGAGTTGACCAGCTGATAGCGTCCGCTATGAATGAACTGGGTCTCCCTGCCCCCCCCCCCATTAAACCCCCTCCACGGTCTCATAC